GTGCCACGCTAGTAGTAACAAGTGGGGGACAACTTGGAAGCCACTAGCGGTCACTAGCGACTTCGCACCGTTCCTTGGCCGATCGGAGAATCGAGGGTGTGGCCTCGGTCTATCGACGGTTTGGCGACCTCCAAGATCTTAACGTCCGAGGCCTCTGACACTTCCCTGTGCCGTCTGGTGCTCATCGACAACTTGCCGTGCCAAAGCCCTTCGTCGCCTGTTCGATAACAAATTCAGGCGCTCATTGCGCGCGCATCTTAATGCACTGTCCGAGACCCCCAAGTCCAAGACGCCAACGTCTGAGACCTGTATGTCGAACACCTCCATGTCAAAACAAATCCCATTTATACCACTGTTGCAGGATATTTTTGACCAAAAAAGGATTTGTTACCGCCCTTGGGTGACGGTAACAGCACCATGTCGTGGCTCCATGGGTGCAGCTTGTAGCTCTGGACTATCTACACTGAGTCTACACGGTGCAGCCGAGGCTCTGCTCATCATTTGAGTTGTGAGCCCGGCGCTCTGTCGGGCCTCGCAATGAAACAAAGGATGCTTTGAGACATCAAAGAGGCATTCAACACAGTTTGCTTAGCAAACGGATACCTACACCGAATGGGAGGGACATGCCAAGGGCCTTTACCAAAAATATTCTTTTCTTTCTGCTCTCAGTTTGGGGATTGGTGCTTTCGGTCGAGCATCGAGGACTTGCACATGGCATCTTTCACAAACGATCCCACGAACGCTGTCACCGACACCGCCGTCCACTTCACCATGCGAAGGGATGGAGGCCGGCCACGGCCAAGAAAGCATTCATTGTCAAACAATACTTTAACATCATGATAGAATATTTTAAGAACATATGTTTATTTGTTTTCTTGATTCCACAGTGCACCTTTTCCAGGCCCATAGGTGAAAGGCACCTAGTGCCAGAACAAGCGCCTTCAAACTAGCAGAGAATTTCCTGCTAGCTCCTGAAATGAATGTCCAAGTAATGGGCAAAGCATCAAATTGCCAACCCTAGAGCTCTTTCTACAATCCTCGGAGATGAAACTCAAGTCCAAGCGGAAATGAACGAGCCTCAAGGCTCTCTAAGACGCTTCAAGCGGCGGTGCATGGCGCTTGGATCCCTTTGATGCAGCACCATTGTCGCACGGTTAAGGATCAACATTGACAAATTCTGATGTGGCCAATGGGCAATTTTCATATCTCGAAGTGACTGACATGACAACTTAGGGTTCCAGGATGTTCCAAGCACCTAAACGCAGAAAACCGATTGGCATCCATCTCTCAACCTCCAGTCTCGGTGGAGACCAACTCCTCAGAACGGTTGAAAAGTGTTTGGAGACCTTCGCTTTACCACACTGCCTGACTCTGTGCTGACTTGGTGTGGTACATCAGTCTGAGAACATGCACATTCCACACATCGGTGGCTGTAAGAATACATAAGAATACAAACAAATGCGTTGGTCGCCAAAGAAGCAACACATGGGGTGCCAAATCATTTCACTTTGATCAATTGGCCGTGACAAGCCAAGCCACGCATCTAACCCATGTCGATCACAGCCAAGTAGGTTCCAGCAACAGCAGTGATGAGCCCAAAAACCACGAGAAATCCGCAAAGTAGCGTCGTCACCTGACATTCCAATCTCCCCAAATGGCACCCACTACAAACTTCGAAAACAAACAATCCGGTGCTTATCAAAACACGAAACACTGTTGCACAAAGTGCAAATCGAGTCGGCGAGAGGGAGCGAAACAAACGAAGTCGAACTACGACTCCACGACACATGGCGTGTCAAAACAACGAGGCGGTCTCTTCGCGCTCCGCTCGCGTCCGTGTCCTGCGTGTGGTTTCTGGAAGACACAGCCAGGCGCATGTACATCACAGCCCTCAGTCGTCAAGAACGGACTAAATCCGAAAAAGGACCAGATGATATACTCGATATGTCGAAAAGGTAGGATGAGATATGAAATGACCACGTCTACAAGTGGACAAAACATTGTACTCAAAGCTGTCTTCGCACTTGTTCAATTTCTTGCTCCAAAGTACATTTAGCCACTAGCCCAAAACAGAATCCAGGAGCATTTGAAACAAATCAGATGCAGGTTTTGGATATATAGGCTGTAGGGCAAAGCATGGCAAAGCTCATGGCCGTGGTGGTTTCTTTCACATGACTTCATGACCACTGATTTTGAGCCACCTTACGGACAAATACTTCGGTTGCTGGTGTGCGCTTGTCTCGAGGGGAGCTTCCCTATGCTGTGGGCCTCTGGCATCGGTGCCTTCGCACTGACATCCGTGGCTCGACTACGACTGGCTCGCTTCGTGGCCGTCGCAGATGGCAGGCAGTCACTGCAAGGACGCTACTAGGAGCAAAGGACGCTACTAGAGTGCAGGGCGGGCAGGGCGGGCAGGGTGCACAAAAGCAGCATCAACTGCACCTGAAGAGAAGTTCACAACAAAAGCTCTATTCTAAGGCCTTGGTAGTCGCTGGTAGTCTGATTGTGTCTGATTTGGTTTGTATCTGTGTCAACGTGGGCACGATAAGAGTAGCACCTCCTCCGGCAGGTCTTACGATGGGCTGCACTCCGGGCACACATCAACGTGAGGATGTTCGGTTCTTCTGTCCGATGGTGTCCAAAGACTTGGCTCGCCCTGCCATGCCCTGCCTGCCTGGAGTGAGTTTCTACTTGGCTTGAAGAGGACAGGAAGGTATGCACTGCTCCGTCGCAGCTGAGAGAGGAACCAACGCAGAAGTTTGCGCGTGGAACAAATCAGATGCTACACTGAATCAATCCAACAATAAGCCAAGTCTTCCCGTAGACTTCAGATCTAGCCAACACACCCCAGCAAGTTCAGAAGAAGTTGTCCAACATCAAGTGGACGCATCTAGGTTTTCGCAGTTTCCATAGATCCTATACGTGTGATCCGTGAAGCGCTGAATCTCGATCCGCAAACATCTCGAGTCAGCCCCACACATCGCCCTCCAACTTTCCTCCCCAACTTGCAGTGACGTGAAGTAGCGTGACGGAGTGTGTGACGTGACGGGTGATGCTCCTAACTTCGGCTTAACATCTCTACACCCTCATCTGCAACAATTCTTCACTGCTCCCGGTCCCCGACCACCTTATTATACCACCTTCACTACTTCTCAAGAGAGTAGCGGGATCACCACTGAGGTCAAGTTCACGAGCAGCGCCCCGGCAAAGGATGCCAGCGCCGCCACCTTCGCTGCCAGGAAACACGCCTCAGGAAACAAAATACGCATCAAAAAACACAGTTTCTTCGTCCCCAGTCTTGGACAGCAAAAGGGCATGGAGCTCCGATCGAAGATCGTCGATGCGGAGGTTCGTCCAGGCACTGACGCTCCGGTGAGGAAGATCACCACAGCAACAAGGAGGCCACATCGAAGGAGCCTAGGTGAACAAGGCACAAAAATTTGGCCATGTGTTTTGCATTGTTTTGCTAAAAATGTTTGCCGTTTTCGAGTTCTCTGCCTCAACTGTTGTTTAGGGCTTCTGTTTGCGTCTAAGAGAGAAGAGCTGTTATTTCCCACCTGTCAGGTGAGGGTTGTTAGTAGAATTTATGTCAGACCAGACCATCTCCTCCTCCTCCTTCTCCTCGTCGTCCTCCACCGGACCTCAACCACGACCATCCGTGCCCAGTGTTCCCTGCCGGACCTCAACCACGACCATCCACGCCCAGTGCTCCCTGCCAGACCTCAACCACGACCATCCACGCCCAGTGTTCCCTGCCGGACCTCAACCACGACCATCCACGCCCAGTGTTCCCTGCTGGACCTCAACCACAACCATCTACGCCCAGTGTTCCCTGCCGGACCTCAACACACAACTACAAACAGAACAACAAACGCACAGGCAGAAACGCACAACCACAAACACAACCATAAATGCACAATCCCAAACGCACAGCCACAAACACAACAACAAACGCACAACCAGAAACACACAACCACAAGCACACAACCACAAACACAACAATACACACACACAACTACAATTACAACCAGAAACACACAATCACCTACACACAATTACAAAGACAATTGCAAACACATAAGCACAAACACAACCACACACACAACCACAAACAGAACAGCAAGCACACAATCACAAACACACAACCACAAACACAGAACCACAAACACAACTACAAAGAGACAATCGCAAACACATAACGACAAACCACAAACGCACAACCACAAACACAACAACAAACGCACAACCACAAATACGCAATCGCAAACACACAACCACAAACACAACAACAAACACACAACCACAAACACAACAACAAACGCACAACTACAAACGCAACCAGAAACACACAATCACAAACGCGCAACTACAAAGACAATTACAAACACATAACCGCAAACGCAACCACAACACACACAACCACAAACAGAACAACAAGCACACAAACACAATCACAGACACAGAACTACAAACGCAACTACAAAGAGACAATCACAAACACATAAAGACAAACACACAACCACAAACAGAACAACAACCACATATCCACAAATACACAATCACAAACACACAACCACAAACACAGAACTACAAACACACAATCACAAACACACAACCACAAACACCCAACCCCAAACACCCAACCACAAACACACAACCACAAACACACAAACATAAACACATAAACTTAAGACACAACCACAAACACACAACCACAACCACAAACACAACCACAAACACAACCGCAAACACAACAACAAACACAACAACAAACACAACCACAAACACACAACCACAAACACAACCACAAACCCACAAACACAACCGCAAACACAAACACACAATCAGAAACACACAGCCACAAACGCGCAATCACAACCACAACACAGCACACAACCACAACCACAACACACAACCACAGCACACAACCCGAGGACCCACAAGCAAAATCGAGAACTACACTACTCACGACCATGGCAACATGCTCCTCACTATGGCATCAAGACAATTGATTGAAATGTCATGGTGGGGATCACTCGAAGTAAGGTAATTTTTTGTTTTTGACGATCCGATTGTGCTCCAAGCGACCGAGCCATGTGAACGGTCGACGTGCGGCGTACGGTGCCTGCGCAAATTCCTCGGTTCTAGGGCTCCTGGCATCACTACTAGGAGCCTAGGGGCTCCTGGCATCCCTATACTCGGAGCAAGGGACGCTACTAGGCGCTCCTGGCCATTCTACTAGGAGCAAAGGGCGTTTCTAGGGACCCCTGGCATCCCTACTAGGAGCAAATGACGCTGCTAGGGGCTCCTGGCACCGCTTGCTGCTAGGACTAAGCAACATTTGTGCTTCAGTTCCACAGGGCTCATATCTCCGTGTTTTTGATTGTTGTTTGATGTGCTAGCTTGTCATGGAAAAATTGTCACCAAGTGACATTGTTTGGCATTGCGCTCGGCGATGGCTTCCAGTGACGACAAACAAAAGACTAGAAACTGCCGAGCCGCGCCTGAGCAAATTTCAACAATTGTCCGTT